GAAACAGTGATTGGGCTTTAAACAAATTATCAACTGTTCATTAAATTTCCATTACTGTATAGGGTTACTCAAAACAGGCTATGCTGCATCAAGAAAACAAAGAGTTTAGACTCTCTTCAAATACAATGGTCACAAATTTAAGCCACTCAGGTTTTTTTAAAAATATTTTTAGCCGCACCATTGCCAGTGGCTTCTGGGCAGCATACAACATTAAAACTTAAAAACATTAAAAACATTTTAAGAGACAGTATAAAATAGCATATATTAAAATATTTCTTAAAACATTAAAATTAATTAATTAATTAAAATGCAGTTGACTCATTAATCTGTAAAGCTCTGTGAAATCTATCTCACCCCTTCCCTACACACACACACACACACACACAGAGAGAGAGAGAGAGAGAGAGAGAGAGAAAACCAATACAACAATTGAGGAGATGTATATCTGCCAAGGCTTATTTTTCACTGATTATAAGGAAAGGCAAAGACGTCATTCATCCTCTTCTCCATATGAGGTCACACACAAACTGTAACCAAAGACACTGTAAAATATCTCACACCACTCCTGGCAACTTCCTGCTCTTTTTAAGAGAGACCTATTAGGCACTGAAATAACCACAATTTACTCTCCAATTTCATCAGCAAATACTTTTCTCACTGACCATCCTGTCAACCGACCTCTCCTTTCTTTACAAGAATTGTGAACATTTTAAAAGATACTAAACAACAAGGTAAACACTGCTGAGGCATACATCAATTATACAAAAACTCTAACAATGAATTTCATCCAACCACCTAGAAAGTGTCTTTCAGAATGCCCTCTGTGAGAGTTAAGTAGCAATGTAAGCTATATCCCATCAAGTTGCCTCTGACTTACAGTAACCCAAATAGATTCTTGTCAAGGTATGTCAGAAATTCAAGAGTAATTTATCACTGACAAATACAGTCCAACTAAGTTCCCATGGGCAAGGAGATCTGAACCCAGGTCTCCTAACTCCTAGACCAACACTCTACAGCACCACACTGACACTTAGGAGCAATATATTTAATTTACTGAGGTTTGTGTGTTATGCTCTCTCAAGTCAGTTCCTACATATGGCATCTTAGGTTTCCAAGGTAAGTGTGCTACTTAGGGTGTGATTTTATGGATGCCACCCACTCATGAGTTTCTATGGCTGGGCAGGTTTCCATGCCCAAGGGTTTAGCCACAACCATAGTAGTGTATCTCAAAAAGGGGAGAGGCAGTGTGGAAAAGGATAATTCTCTGTAACTTGGTTCCTTGGATTTTGTTACTTATCACTGCAACAGAAACTATACTTTTAACTTGTAATTTGAACCCTAGTACTGTACATCACTAAACAGGAAGAGAAAAACACAAGTAAAATATCTGGTTGTCATTAATATAGGTCATATTGTGGAAAAATCAAACATTTTGACCAAAAGAGGTGTGACATCAGCTTTGTGGTGTCTGGTGGAGGCAGACACTTCAGACAGAAAACCCTAGATCTACGCAGCAGTACGCTTGAAACAACCTGCCTCCTAAACAAGGAGCTTCAGCAATGAAAGCTATATTCCAAATCTCATCAGCGACCCAGAGACAGGGAAGGACAACTCTTGTTTCAGGAGGGGTGAGTCAGCTTAGGAGAGAGAGCGAGAGAGAATGGCTGGAATGTGAGAGCTTTGTTTTCTTTGCAAGAACTCTCCGGCCAAGTCCTCAACAGCCCTCCACTGTGCTGCAAGTACCAGCCCCATTATGGAGCAAGGAGACCGTGAAACAGCTTGGGGATTGAGTCCAAATCCTATTAGGGAAGGAAACCTTTCAGGAGAGCTTCTAATTTCTG